AAAATTCCTGTAATCTGTGTGAGATAAATAAAATTTCTATTTTTCAGATTTAAAACTTTAATTCAGAGACCTTATCCATCTAAGTTCACTAAGTAATGAGAAGACTTGAATGTGTTTCTTCTGACCATATTCTGATTGCTCTTTTCACTATTATGTTACAATTTTAAGTTTTCAAAAATTTCTCAAAACATGTTTTTCCCCTCAGTTTATATTGTGTTTGGAAGAGTGGGCTTCATTGCTCCTTAACCAATGCTGTATTTGAACAGCAATCTTCACAAACAAAATATTTAGTCCATGAACCTGAAAATCAGATTCTGAATTTTAGTGATTTATTTTGAAATGTTTGTTTTTGTTTTCTGTAGTGGGTAAGGATATGAGCAACGTACACATAATATATAAAATGTGATGTCCTTGAAGAAATTGATATGCCATTTCTCATTGAAGTATAGATATTACTCTTTCTAAAGACATTGGTTTTGTAAGAATCTCCCTTTATAAAAGTGATATGTTCTTTGACTTCAGGGTAGAGACAGGGGTTACCATTATAATGGGCCAAAGGGTCTATTTTTAGTCTTTTAAATGTTGACTGTATTGTAATTGAGCTATTATTTATCAGGCATAGAGTTAAGATATAAATTTGTGCTTAGTGGACTGTTTAGACTGTTACAATGTCACACGAACAGGCTCTGACACTCCCCTAGGAATTTCTTTGCATGTGTTTATCTCTGTTTTGAAGTCAAAACTCTTATGTCTTTGTCCTTGTGTTCCTTTGGGGGCTCATTTCTTTGGAGATGAACTTGTTTCCATGATTTTATGTTTTCTAGAAAAACTCATTTGAAGGAATTTCTAGCACATTAGCTTAGATATTCCTTAAAGAAAATATAGAGGTTAAGAAAAGTATTGTGAGTTTTAGAATGCATAGGTCTTTTTCTTTATGACTTAGCAGTTGAGGTGAAGTCCATTGTTAATTGTAAGTACTTAAGTAAATGATCTCTAATAACTATTTCTTGAGCACCTATTATGTGCTTATTGCTATGTTATATAATTAGAAGCTCTGAAAGGAAAAAGAAATATACTATATCTCTTTTCCACCATAAATTTAGTTTGAAGAGATAGGATAGATATACATACATTAGCCAAATAGGAAGCAGTGTAATGCACTCTGTGATGAAACATCCATACTTTTTAGATCAGGAGCTTTGGTGAGTAAACCAAACCTACGGAGTATTTGTTGATAGCCATTTCAGCTTTTGTGAGATTGAACAAAGTAAGCAACTCATGAAGAAATGCCATCAAATGATAATTCAAATGAATACAAAGCATGTGGGATAATTCAAGCCTCATATTTTTTCAATAACTTTTTTCACTCTTAAATTTACTTAATTAAAAATATCAGTCCTGAATAATCAGAACAAAAACTACTTTCATTGTTATAAGAGCTATAGAGGTTAAGAAAGATAAAAAGGACCGCAATGAAAGGTACTTCAAATTGATGGCTGTCATAATTGGATTTTGTTCTTAAGGTAATCAAATCAGTCAATCCCATAATAAGAGGAATGAGCCTGGCTGAGTTCATAGGGATTTGATGACACATCTACTCCACCTGTGTTTCTATCTTAGGTTTTCCTAGTTACTGCAGCCTGCCAACCTGAAGAACATTTTGCAATTGCAAAATATTGCAAAGATAAAGTTGTACTAAAACTTGTAAGACTTGACAGCAAGGAATTCAAATTACCAGCCGCTTACTACTGATAATTAAATACTAATACAGTGGACCCTGTAGTTACAACCACCCTGACATATGAACAACTTGGGTTATGACAGGAATTTTAGTTTTAACTTATGACTAAAGTCGTAAGTTAGTACCCGAATGCCGGCCACTTGTGCTTCCAGATACAGATTTAACTCTTACAGAATTCTGGAAGGAACATGACAACAACCTTTCCTGTGTGGGGTTGACTGAGAAATCCTGGGCCAGTGTCTCTCTAAGGACCCTGAGATCTGCCTGTGTACAGGAGAGAGACTTTGAAGGCTGTGTAGAGGCGCCTGAGCCTCAGTTGACCAACTTGAGTTACAACCAGCCCTCCAGAATGAATTGAGGTGTAAGTCAAGGGTCCACTGTAATAATTAAAAGCACATAAAGAAAAGGAGAGTTTTAACACAACTGTCTTATAAATGCAAATAATGCCCAATTTTCTGCTTTTCTAGACAGATACTTTTCAAATACTTTTTCTCACTAGCATTTTGTAAGAAAAAAGTCTTCCAGGAGACTCCCATGTATCAAACAGGTAAAAGCTGTTTGGGCGTGAGAGGGAGGAAGATTTCCTGTAGTTTAGCTGTTTCCTCTCCCATTCCTCACCTAGCAGGGCTCCCAAGAACCCTTGGCTGAACCACTGAGCTCAGTCTGTGTTCTAGACCCACCATCACGGGCCACATATTTCTCTCCAGTTCTAGTAAACTAGTTCCACAGGCATTGCGAAAGTCCTGAATTTAAATTTATGTTGACGAATCACAAGCTTTCTGGCTCAGGAGCTCCTGGTGACAAAGCTAGAACACAGTGGCCTGCCAACACAGAGAGCAGGTGAGCAGAGTTCTGGGCCACTGTTCAAACTCTTGGTTCCTGTGCTCCTGAAACCCAGCTGCCTCTTCTCTTTTATAGACTGGTTATTCAATCTTCCTTCTGACTATGTTTTGCTAAGAGCTAGGTCAAGCTATATTTCTTTTACCTGCAGCCCAAAATCCTGATGAAATACAAATGCCATGCCCATGTTTGTTTTTAATTGTAACAACATTTATAGAAGTCACTCCATGTGATATAATACAAAGGTGAATACAAATATCACTTCTCCAGTCACATTCTTTACAACTCTGCCTGGTCTTCATTTAAAATTGGATGCCTAAACACTTCCATCGATAGCTAGAATGTGGACTTCAGGGCAAACAGTGAATTAAGATACGTCATGTACAGGTACCAAATACCCACAATGAATGCCAACACTGTATGTCATAAACATAAGCTGACAGCAATAATAACAACAAGAATGTAAGTGGGGAAAGGAGATTGAGAGACAGGGAGAGTGATAGGTGGGAAGGGGAAAGAGATTAAAATAGAAAGAAGCTCTGTTATATACATGTAGCTACAGCCCCAAGATGAATATAAACTGCAAACATGTCCCAGTAAAATTAAAATTAAAATTAAAAAAGAGAGAGAAACTAGTCAATGAACAAGAGGCATCAGACATGAAGAGAAGCCAAAGAGTCCAGATGACAATGGTGGCTGCTGTTATGGACACAAGAATTCAGTGAGAGAATCTGGTTTGTAACCATGTAAGAACTATGGTTAACATGCTTCTTTATGATCGTTGCTCTTATAAGTCATTCTGGGGAAAATGTAGGGACATTCCAGGTGAGGCTTCCATCTGCTTTTAACAAAATACTTCATTTTTTCATTTATTAATCTCACTAATAAGGGAGATAACCTGACTGATCATTCAGTGAAGGAAAAATCAACTGTTTGTAGACCTGGAGAACTTGAAGATTATTTGCAAGATACATCTTACTTGGAAGAACTGGAGAAACACCAATTTTCAGTCTGGTGAGTGACTGCATTCTGCCTTTATATTTTTAATTTAAATTCATTGAATCCAACAAATTTTATGCATTATCTTCTCATTACTATTTGCTTTTCTGATAAAAATTGATCACATTCCTATTGTAAGCTATAGAATATGTAACCTGACTTGGAAGTGTTTGTAGTCTGGACAAAGAGCTGGATGTGCAAAAATAGCAATAGGATATGGCAACAGTATTTTTAATTGCATAGTGTCACACTCACATAGAGAGAAAATTATGGCCACATTTATTACAGTGTAGAGAAAATTTCCCTGAGAAAGTTCTAGACAAATCTTAGGGAGAAGATTGCAGTGGATAAATGGTGACAGTGTCATGTGGACAGAGTGCAGAGATGAAACTAGAAGTGTCAGTGGGTTTGATCTATTCTGGAAATCTTAGTTTCCTCAAGACCTAAACAGACATGGTAATTGTTGCCCTTACCTGGTGGTCGGTATACTGATGCATCTATTTATGCAAAAACGCCTATTCCAAACATGAAGAAAGGTGTAAAGAAGTGAGGAGTGGAACATCTCAAAGATAATGAGTGCAGAGTTTTGCCATAGTGTCTTCACCAAAGATCCATAGCGATAATGTGACAATGGGAGCAATCTTGGGAAGGAAAAGACATGGAGTACCTGGGCAAAGTTCCAGCCCCTTCCCCATGTCTGTTCCCTGAATGGTTTTCTCCTCCAGCAATTGATCAGACCTGTGATTTGGTTTTAAGTTTGCTCTCATTCATCCATCCTGGAACCACTGTCTGGAGGTTGTGACATCGGCTCAAACATCGTTTACTCAGTTTCATTCTTTACAACTCCTACTGGCCTTCATCTACACTTAAAGGCCTAAACACTCTCACCCATGTTTTCTGGAAATAGTTAGAATGTAGACTCCAGGGTAAAGGGTGAAGTATTTTCTGGATCCAGAGAAGTGGGTCTATGCACAAGGAACATCAAACATGAAGAGGAGCCAAAGAGCTCAGTCTCACAATGTCACTTTTATTTTACATATAGAGTTAAAAAGTTGAAGGTTTTCCAAGGGTCTCAGTGCTTCAGTTCCAAATTACACCTTTAATAGGAAACTCCCATGCACTACTGCTTCAGTAGGCTTCCCGTGGTCTCTAGGACCAGGGAGTGGCTGCAACAGCTCCTGGGGCAAAAGCTTGTTCTCCCTCTGTTTTTCTTAAAATAAAGTTTTATTGGAACTCAGACACACGCATTGGGTTACTTACTTACATTGGCTATTTTCCCCTACAATGGCAGAATTTGTTATTGAGGATGAAGTCAATATAGTTCACATAGCCTAAAATATTTGCTACCTGACTCTTTACCAAAAAAGTTTACTTACCCCTGCTCCATACTGACTTAGAAGCTTCTCTTTTATTCTCTCCTGAAAATCACACATCATTCTCATTTTTTTTATTCTTCTTAACACGATTTTTTATTAGTACATGTTTGTGGTAGATAATATTTACATTCCTTGTAGGGAATTGGTACATGCACATAATATATCTTAATTCCTTTTTTCATCTCCTTTATCTTCCATCCATCTTCCGTGCATCCATTTCTTGAACACTCTTTTTTTTGTACATGTTTGCAATACTTTTTTTTCCCATTAAATTTATTGGAACATTTTAGGTATAAAATACAGTTACATTCATCATTGGGAATCTGTACCATTACATGAGTATCTTGATTCTTATTTTTTTCCCCTTCCCCTGCCCTCCCTTCACTCCCTCCACCCTTCCCTATTTGAAAAGACTTGGTTTCCATTTTTTTCCTTTTCTCATTTTTCTTTTCCCTTTTTTCCTTTCCCCTACCCCTCCCACTTCCCCTGCACCTTTAGACCTTTTCTTCCTATTACACAATATCAATTATACATTTTTTAAATTACAATATTAAGAT